TACATTCAGAATAAATACCATAATATTACAATAAGATGGAAACACAGAGTATATTCAAATACTACATTTCCTGTCTTCCCTACTTCAGGAATGTCCTTAAACCTACAGATAACTTTAAATTTATGTGATCAGAGGATTGCATTAATTCTTTTTTGCTTTTGAAACCACTGGAACATCATACAGGCCTCATGACCCTTAAACATAGAAAATGCAATACCAAATACTCTTAAAGAAAGAAATACATTACATAATCAAGAACTCTTAAAGAAATGTACTTCATGATAAAAACCTTTAATATCAAGTATATTATTATACAAAAATAAAACCCTTGGTACTGAAAGTATATACAATGCAAAAATAAACAGTTTAACTTTAAAACTATGTACAATATAAAAACAAACCCTTTAACAGAGAAATATGTGAAAATTCATAAATAATCTCTTAAACAAAGAATACATAATACAAAGTAAACTCTTTAACAAATAAAATTATGTTAAACTTTTCAACATAGACTCTAATTACATGTTAACACACTAGGAAATATAAATTCAGTGTCAATCTATAATATCATATTAAAATATAAACCACTTAAAAATTAACATAAAAAAATGCAGTAGTTTCACATGTACGATCACGCTTATTAAAGTATCCCACTAACATCAAAATACCTTACTATCCAAAAATAACCCAGATAAATATCCAACACACATCTTTACAGTGAATCAATACAAACAGGATCCTAAATATTTAAAAATCCTTTAAAGCAAATTATAAAATTAAAATACTCTATACCATTTAACAATGGTAATTGAACAAGATTATATTAAAATAAAGGAGAGTCATACAGATATATGCATATATACAAAATATAATATATAAAACAACCTGAAAATAATTCATACTCAAAATGGCGGAGGTATGTACATATCTACAACACTTCAAATTAGCTTAATATATATAAATAATAACACACACACACACACACCCAGAACAGCAACAAAGCCCAGTATCCTTTGCTCATCTGGTCCCATAAATATATTGGCACTTCAATTAATAAGTCATTGAATACTGCCACTGCACTGATTGTAGATTGCACAATCCTCAACTAGTGATCTTAGATGCTTTGGTAACCATGATGGATGCAGCCCTGGCATTTGTTACTCCCACTTTGCCTATCATGTTGACAAGTATACTAGTGTTCAGCTGGCTAACCATCAAGTGTAACTACTGAACACTTAACTGTAATATAATATTCTTTAATGCATTTGACACTTATCAGATCCACTTATGAAGTTCTAGAGCTTGGTTTAGTGAATTATAGTTATCTGTTCACCAAAGAAATGTATTCTTTATTTAAAAACATGTTTATCTACTTTCTTAGTTAGCTGTTTTAAGTCACCTAACATAGCAATGCCTGATAGATATTCAAGTATACTTCTCCCTGCATTAATTATTCCTTGCTTTTGTCTAGCTCTATTCCACGTAGAAATACTCTCTCTCAAATCTTGTTTAATTGAACCCAAAGTTCCATTTGACTTTTGAGCTAATTGTTTATTATTTTCTATCACATCTTCTATTAATACAAAATCCTTCATTTTGAGCTGAAGTTAACAAATGACCTTTACTGAATTTAGCATGTTTCAGATAATAACAATGGAGAATTTTCAAATTTTGTAGCGATGAAACATAAGCTTTAACAGAGTAAGGTATGTGGTATTTAAATTCGATTTCGATGACGAGGAACCCACTTTGAGATTAATAATGGCTGGATGCGGCTTAAATGGGTAATGAAGAAAAACTTTAATATAAGTTTAACATAACAGCAAATGTACAACCCATTTAAGCCGCCTCCAGCCATTATTAGTATGTGGTATTTGTATACTTCAACAATATTACTATTCTATGAAACAATAGTTTCCATGATTATACCCTGCTACAGAGAGGCTGAACATCATACACATATTACTACTGAATGTCATGCTACACTATCTAAGACATTCAACACAAAATATTGAAGAACTAAAGCTATTTTCTATAAAGAATTGTAAAACTTTCTCCCTATTTGCACTGTATAGAAATGTTACACTTTTCATACATGATACAAAATTTTAGTCAGAGTGGATAATACTAGATTTGAAGTTTTATGGGCTGCATTTGATGAAAACTCCTATTTTTCAATAAGATGCAACTCATAAACAACAAATCCAGTGTTATGTCATGAAAAACAAAATTCATAACACAGTATATAGGTCATTTCAGTTGTCAATTTTTCAAATATATTTCTATAAAATTAATACAGAAATTTAATTTTACATAATGCTTGAAGTAAACTTTATTTCATTATAATACCTTAGAGGCAAAAATGTTTATTGCAGTTAGAATTATCGGCAAAGTACCTTGACATCATCATCATTGTTTTTTACATATCTGTGCTGAAATACAGTCTTGTGTTTCGTGGATTGTTTATTGAATTACACTACTGACTGCAACAAAATGATTGAAAGCTATTAATCTAACATGTTTGATTAAGGTGAGACATATAAAGGTCATGGGATGATGAGCAATAGACTTCCAAGGCCAATGATCCACAACAGCCTTGGATAATCTTCTTAGCAAGTAACAAACAAAATAATATGTAGCATGACAGAATAATAATAATTATTTCACTGAAAGAGACACATAAATCAAATACACTCAACCAGACCAATTAAGGCCATTTGGCAAAAACATTTGTTGAATTTTTTTTCTTTGAATGATTTTACCCTTTATATGTGATATATGTGGAAAGTAGAATGCAGGACACAAAGCAGCATTGCATTTGAGGTATCATTGTTTCCTTTCTTTAGCCTCTCTTGTAACAAACTTTACATCATTTGGTGGGTTTATGCTTTGTTATTGGTGGGATGACTTCATAAAAGTGTCTCTCTAGGAGCCTAGAAGGTTTAAAGGATTTTGAAATTTGCCCTAAGGCAGCTACAGGCCTTGCTGTAGCATATTTTTCAACAAGTCCCTTGCTTAGCTCAATGAGGAACATCAGTCTGGTTTTCCTTCCTCCAACTTTTTGTGCAGATAATAGGAAATGAGGGCACAAATAATCCATGAGATGGCAAGAAATTTTTGTACAGTATTTCTTCAATGAGAGTCACACAATGGCATTTTGAAGAAGGTTGTTGTCAACTGAGTCTATGCCTCCCATCTCCATGTTATAATTAAGAACAACTTCAGTGTTGCCTGTTCATGTCTCAACAGCCTCCATCTTGTCATTGTGCTAAGAAAGATCACATCCTTATTATTCTTTCCATCTGAGGATCATTTGCTTTCTTGTGAAAGTCTCCAATTTCTTGAGCTTTACAGCTTTCACCTTCTCTGGCACATCTCTCTTGCTGAGATGCATTGTCCCCACATAGTCAGTTTTTTCTGGCAAAGCTTGTTTATTCTGGGCAGATGTACAAGTTATCCAAGTGCAATGTGTATCCTTTGTCTAGAAGGGGGTCGTTCAGTTCCAAAACAATCCTTGATGTAATAGGTTTATCTTGGTATTTATCACCATAATCAAACATGGCTCCAGTACAAATGAGGAAATTCCACACATACACTGAAGTACTTTCAGAGTTCAAACATTTTTATTCTAAGCTGGTTTCATTTGGAAGGAATGTAGATTGTCCAACCAAAACAACCCTTCCAGCCAAGAAGTGATTTATTTACAGAAATGTTTTTCTGCAGTATTCATACAGACTGAAATTTGTTCCTGAAATGGTCAAGAACAGGCTTTATCTTGAAGAGCTTTCTACTTTGTGAGTTCTCATGAAATGTTTCTTTATAATCCAAATGTAGAAATTTCAGCAGATGATACCACTCTCAGTCATTATGCTGTTACGAAAAAGTGTGACAGTGCTTTTGTGCACTATACCCTGAAGCACAAGAAGGGTTCTTATCTCATTTGTGTCACTGTCTTTCTATTTGTGAATACACAATGTTCTTGTCAGTGTAGCTCCATACTTCACAATGAACTGCTGGGTATACCTGTTGGTTTCTTGTACAACTTGATCAATGAGCTTCTGATCTACACACTTTTCATAGAGTTCTACTTAATTACTCTTTTCATTTATTTACATTTTAATTCCATCATTTGAAACGTAAGGAAGATGTGGGCACTCTTTACCTTGATTAACCTAAGGTATGTCCAGAGGTACGGTATCAGTCTCATCATCTTCATCAGAAGTTTTATCGGAACTGCCGTTGCTATCGGAAGAATTAATCCACTCTTCATCTGATGAATAATCATCCAAGTCACACACAGAACTCTGGTTGGTTGAAACTAATTCACTACAAATTTGTTTGCTATCTAAGCACCATGTTCTCTACAATCCATCCCAGTTACATTTATCTCTAACTGATGAAAGATAGCACTCACAAGATAGCTAGTGCCATCTGTTAGTGCTATAGTGTAGGAACTCAATGCTGAATGCACTTGATGGACCTACTCATGATACCCATTAGAAATCAGACAATGGAATAGATGAGACAAATATACCAGTTATATACAGTCAATTATATCCATGTAAGAGGTTAAAGTTTTTATAAAATCTGTGAAAGTCCCAGATGAGTCTAGGCACTAAAATACTAAGTTTTTCTTTTAACATGTATAAAATAATACTTTAGTTTTAGTGTAGAAAGTTCTTCAAATATGCATCGGCACTACTGAACAGAATGTGATAGTACACCCAGGAGATCTGATTTTAAAATATTGTGCCATGCAACTGTTTGGTAGATGCTGTATATTAAGAAAAATCTGCAAAATTCAAAATTTTAAATGACATAAAAAACTGAAACATCCTTTACACAGTCACATGCCCATATTATTTCTTGTTTAAAGAACTCTGTAAAATATTAATATAAATATTTTCTATGAATATATAAAGTAAAAGATATCTTATAGCAAACAAAATGTTAATAAAAGACATATTTGTGGGAGAAAAGCAGACATTTTCAAACAAAACTTCAGGAAATAAAAAATGTTTTATTGTGCATACATACTATAAAATGTTTACAAGTTCAAGTCTACCAATTTTTGAATTAATCAAGCAACTTTATTAATGATAAATGTCTTTACTGTAGTAACACAAGCTTCCAAGTTTCACTCTTTACGATTGGAGGAGGATTCCTTAAATCAGGATCTGATAGCAAAGAGCAGAAGATACAAAGAAACATGACAATTAATACTATTTTTAAACACATTTAACATGTACTTACAACTGTTATTGAGAAATAAATAATAAGTATTACTCCATTTCTTTGTTTTAAAATACAAATCTTAAAATTTGAGTTTCAAAACTTTCAAAAAACCTTGGCATAGTTTTAGTACCTAAACAGATGATAAAAATATGACTTGATAAATGTTGGTTAAAAATGCTAGGTGGAGAAGAACCTCTACAATGCAAATGGTCTCTTTTGGGAGGTGGTTTGATTGTGAAACTAGAAACTGATCACCTTACATATATGACTCGAACCTTCCCTCATCAGCACCACTTACATGTACATTTCTTTTCATCTCATGTTTTCACTAAGTCATCTTTACTACAGCCCCAATTCTTTCCCTTATTTTTACACTGCATTATGAATAGATACAGAAGTACATTTTTATTCTCATTAATCTTTAAGGTGTTTCTATTTCATATATACATGTAATATTTTATTGAAAATTGAAAGCATATATGACACATACAGTGTACAACATTTAGACATTTGTTCTTACATTACAATACATGTTCATAAAAATGAAAAAAAACAAAACAAAAACAAACTTCATTTGATATCATAGAAAAAAATATTTGACATTTCAATTCAATTTACAGCAGTGGATTGAAATAGCTGGTAATTTTTGTTTGAGGTTTGGCAGAAACTAAAGTCCCTTGCAAAGATCTTTCAATGTTTGCCATTGCTTCAATCAAGTTATTCATACCTTTCTCTTTAAAAAAAAAACGTTTGAGTTCATCTGTCCACTCACTGCTGCAGCACAGCTCTTGATGGTAATTTTGTCTGCTGTGTTGTCATCTTTCAATGCTAGGTGAAGTGTTATTGGTTGGTTGTTAGGTTGCACAGAGGCTGTGAACTGAAGAATTCCATGAGCAATATTGTCAATAAAATCACCTTGACAGTGTTTATCTTCTTTGGCATTGACATCCACTGAGGCAGCAAACACTTCTGCAGACAGCTCATTAACTTTCAGTTGATCTTTGGCATCTCTAAGCAACTTTGAAAGACATGTCAATGGAATTTTATCTTCATTTTCATCATTTGAAGCTTCGGCAATAGAGGTAGGAAAACCTATTGCTGAAAAGCACTTCTTCACTGTGGAGGCTTTGATCTCTTTCACCTCTTCACTGACCCAATGGCAAGCATCCAAAATGGAGACAGCTTTGGCTGACCAACATCATTGGCTTTATCATATTTGGCTAGGATGTAGTGCAGGAGATGTCAGTAATAATGATATTTCATCACTTCAGTCACCCTCTGGTTAGAAGTTGCAAGACTTCTGTCATTTACAATAGGAAAAATAAGAAAGGAACATTCCATAGCTCCTGTTGAAAATGTAAAGGAGCACTGTCGACAAACAAAAGAACTATTTTGTGTTTGTTGCAAGCCTTGATCCACTGAGAAATTGTGTATAAAAAGATTTTGCCCAAGGCTAAAGTATCTCTGCCATTCATACAGTTATACCACCTGTGGTTACCCATTGATGTGTGTCGACATAAATAATCAATGGTAAAGAATAGGAAAGGAAAATAAAACATTCAAAATAGAATACAAGTGAAAAGGTAAAGACATGAAATTATGCATATTACCCAAAGAAGATATTTTAAGATTATTAAGTTAAAAGGTATGTACATATTTCTATTTCTTAATTCTAAGCATTTCATTGCACTGTATGTTGATGATAATAGCTGGAGTTAGTGATATGATAGAGAAAATGGAAAATAAAATATGCACATTTACCTGAAAAAACTTTTCTTATATACATTTTATCCACTTGTTTTATTTTTGAATGAAATATAATGAGAACTATGTAATGTGCTGCACTTTGCAGCAAGTTGTTGTTATAGGGTCAAAGAAAGAGTGGATATAATGGGACTAAAAATACTGATTATTTTCAGGAGTTGCCAGTTTTTAAGAGAAAGTTGATAGTAGAGGTTCTAATGTACTATGTAATAATAGAATTGAAAACTTTGATAGACTAATGATAAGTAAAAAGTTATCAGGAAATAAAAATATACCATTTTTGCCATCTATGAGAAGCTGTCTGGCTATTAGGAAAGTTATAAACATAAGAAGATATTACAGAGTTACTGACAACAACAAAAAATGTCAAATCATCACCAGCTAAGAGAAACATTGAACATTTTTCTACCTGAAAATATATTTTCAACACTACCACTATGCACAATAATCCCTATGAGTACTAGCACGTGATCATAAAGTCATTCTTGACAAAGCAAAGAAAATGCTGTAGACGATGGGAAGAGGAAGGGCAGGATGGTGGTGAAGAAGTAAGAATCTATTTGAAACACATTTTCAGGTAAAGAAAATGTTAACTTCTGAAACATTACTTACCTATCTGCACCACTAAGAGCTAGAATTCCACAATGAAAATGGTGGGGGGGGGCAATGCTGTTCAATTAAAAAAAGGGGGGAGAGAGGTGAACCACTCTCATCAAACCCAATCATCTGGAATTGGGTCCCCACTGAGAGAGAATGCAATGGGTTACTATGACTAAAGACAGCAAGTGCAAGCCAGGTGTAAAGGCAGGAGTACACCTAGTGCTGTTCTTTTTTTTTTGGAAAAGGCACAAAAATGGCTATGTCAATTTTAAAGATAAACTGCCAAAGCAGTCTTGTAGAAAACCCCATCCCAATGGAGGGCACTGAGGAAAGGTGGATGAGTTTAACTCTTTTTCATTTTCACCTGCTCAATGCAGGGTTTGGATATTACCTCTGAGGCAATGTCAATCAATCTGATGGCAATCATCATAAGGAATGTAAGGTGTAATTCCTCGTGTAAAATTTGAACTGGTGAGTCTTGACTCCTCCAGTTCATTTTTTATTTTTGTTGTGGAGAAACTTGTAGTGTATTTGAATGTGAAAAACGATGGTACACACACAGAAGTGTCATGAAACTTATGAATGATATGGAGATCATTGAAAAACACAACAGGCAAAACTCATCACACTAGAGATAAAGCCTCTGAGTAGACTATAAAATGGCAACTGGAGAGAGGCAAAAACCAGAAGCATAGGAAACTGCCCAATGATGTAAGAAGTGGGAGAAGAATGTGTTAGGTGTAGTTCCCAACCCCAAACTAGCCTGTAAGATTTCCTTTAAAGGCAAGTGACAAAAACAGGCAATAGAGGCTGTGACATGCTAAAACTGGTGGGAGAAGATGCAAAAAAAAAGCATATGGCTAGTCTCACCCAAAAATGAATATGCTAGATAATGAATTGGCAGACCTAACCAGTTAAAGTGGAAGGGAACGAGTCCCAAAAGGAAGAGGTTACCACGGTAAAAATAGGCAACCTTGGTTTTCACAAAAAGGGGCAGTCCAAGCAAGACAACAATGGACAATCCATACAATGATGAAATAGAGGGGAGAGAGGTGGAGAAACATCCAATCATTCATCCTGGCAATCCAAGTCTTTGGGAGAAAGGAGTGGAATGGAAACAACATCAACCAGTCCCTATGATAGAGAATACAGTAGGCATCTGAAGGATAAATATATGAATGATGATGATCACAAGCAACGAGAAGGAGAAATTTCTTTTGAGAGACAAATGGTACAAGGAATAGGAAGTCAATGGCTCAAAGGAGGGCAAGAGCCTGAAGAAGCATATAAAGGTCCTAGTAGGAGAGAGGAACTGGATGATGGGGGAGTGGCTAAAGAAAGGGATTACTGCCTGGCAAGATGGGGAAAGCTGTGAAATTACAATGGATTTTGGACTTTACCTCCAGCGTAATTATGATTTGAGTTTGACTAAGGAGAAAATAAAGAACAGCTGATCAGTACGATACCAGGATTAAACTGTTTTTCAGTCAATTATTTCGAGTTTATTAAAAATATTTCAATCTTTCCTATTTATAAATTTTTTAAAATATTTTCTTTAATTCATGATTTATGTACAACCATGAATGAAATATCTTGCAAGAACACATTGTCTGGTAGATTTAGTAAAATTTTTTAATTTTATAAATTATTGCTTATTAAAGTTCTTTTACCAATCATCATATTGGTATTTGCAAAGTTGACATTAGTTGAAATGTATTAGGAATTTGAAAAACACACAATCATATAAAATCTTAACAATGTATAGAAGCTATCAAGTCATCAGGAACTTAAGTAATCATTTTAAATTTAAAAAAAATATCAACTTCAGAACAGTTACAAGAAATTAATAAGTCATCATAACTACATATAATATAAGTACTTAAATCTGAATTAAAAACTTCTACTTAGTAAACAGAATACACACTCACCAGATATTATAGGTGACATATCTTGATTTTTTTGTTGAAGAGCCATTATTAAAGTGTTTGCTGTGGACTGTGGGCCAAATACCTGCTGTAGATATCAATCCTCAAATCAAGATAATAATTCTAGTCTATTATATTAGAAGTTACAGCTTTTACAGTAAATACGATTTATTATTAGAACAATTAAAATTTCTTAAATATGGATATAAAACTTGGATTAGCTTTTTCATATTTTTTAGAATTACCAAATTTATTACTAAATATTTTGTATGCTTTAGATTAATGTCACATTCCTTTTAAGTTGCTAAATAATAGTATGATGTGAAATTTACCAAAAATATGAACAGTTCAACTAACCATTTCTGTATCAAGTTTACAAGTAGGCCAGACATCAGAAGTGGAGTTTTCTATAAGTTTAAGAAGGTCAGTAAAATTGTGCTGAAGAGTGACTGCTTCTTGGTCATAGCCCATCATTACTAAAGTTTTCAAGAGAGATCCAACTTCACCTGGTTTAGAATCATAATAAATTTAACTTTTGATTCATAAGTAGAAATAATTATAAACCTAACTATATCATTTTACACTGTAGTAGTCATTCCCAAATTACATAAACTTGATCTAAAAGCTAGTTAGATTATTAACACCAAATCAAACCTGCCAGTATCACATAATTATAAAGTCAAACATTCCCTATGTTAATGATTCCAGGATCATGTGTCAAAACAGCAATCACTTGTGATTACAACTAGCTTAATCACTTCACCATACAGAACACAAACTTCAAGTATCTAACTGAATAACTTCAACAAAACTTATAATCTTATGAGTAGGTTAATTATCAAGATGGTTAGCAAAATTAATGTGGATATCAGATTTTATCTGGAAATTTATGAAGAGAATTTATAAGTTTGGTAATTTAATATAAATATCCAATTGTACAAGTTAATCAACAAAATTAATAAAGTTGACGAGTTAATACAGATATCAGATTGTACCTGTCAACTTATCAACATAGTGCGGAAAATTTGGTTAGTACCTGTCATTCTGCCTGAAGAATGGAAAAGGTCACTAAGAGCAGCTATAAGAGCCAAGTCTTCATTTTGGCTTCCTTCCTTCAATGTGTACTTCTTTTGGTTTTGTTTCTTCTTTTTTCTTGAAGTACATTGTGTCATTAGTGACCTTTGATGAACAAAAGATTTATATAATGGTAAGTTAAGATCAATGTGAGCCATATTCCTTGTTATAAAAGAAAAAATCATTAAAATTATCTATCAGAAGTTTTAGATAGAGAAATGAATATTCTTTTGAAAGGTGCAATAAGTTCCATTTACCTATTTGAGGTTGTTTAAATATAAGTAATCTTAATTTGCTAAAACAAACCATCTGGTCAATGCAGGTAAAGTTTAAAAATATCAATTTAGTGAGGAACAACCATGAATGAGAAACACTTTACTACATGTAGTTAATACCTGTCAGTTTATCAACAGGATGTATAAGCAGTTATACATTTCATATCATCAGTAAATGGATGGAGCATGTGTGATCATGTAAAATTAGAAAATATGCATAGAGGTTCAATATATTATATTAAAGCAATTTTGGAGCATCACAACATAGTCACAGTCTATGTTCCCATTTCTACTCATGCTCTATCTGATAAGTGTGGCTCTTGACAACAGTTCTGCAACATAGTTTTTATTGTAGAAGGCCAATTGTAGGTTGTCATGTCAAAAGCACACAACTCCTTCCTGTGACCTTTCCAGAAGCGATTTTGAAATATGAAGGTGGTGATTTTCCAGCACTCGTTTAAATAGTTCAATCACACAGAAATCCACAGATGCTGTGTCTAGCAATTTGACAGGTATGTCTTCGTATGTAATATATGGCATGGAAGCAACTTGTTGATTATATTAGGTACTGTTGTATGGGGAATGTGGATAGTTTTTGCCACTTACCTTTGTATTTGCAGAATCTCACCTGTTACAAAACATCACACTTTACTTACCATGGTTAGTACATGACTTAATTGTGACAGGTCTCTTTCAGAATGGTCCTGGTGCTCCAGGATGATCAATATTTCTTTGTTTTCCAATAACATTAAGTAAAAGGGATGTCCCCATCTTGAAAATTCTAAATCCCCAATTTGAACATGTCTTTCTGATTTTTTGCATGAAAATTTTACATTGAAAAGTGCTGTTACATACTTTTTCCAAAAGTAATACATTTTTGGTACCACATCATCTATGAGATGCTAAACATGTCAAAAGGTAGATCTCGTATACATGCTGTCCCAACTCAACTTTCTATTGGTTGTAGTTGTCACTTGATTTATTGATCTGCATATTCAAATTGTTTTAATATAATTTACTCAATCCTAATTATAACTGACAATGAACTAAACTGGAAAAAGAAACAAGCTTTCCACATCTGTAGCAATCAGCTAAAACTAAACTGGAATCATAACATTTTAGATGACTTTTATTAAACAACATCACTAGACAAATCAGGTCATTGCATTCATCACTTTCATTTCTTGAAAATCAAACTCACTAAATAAACACCTATGGTGGCAACCAGATTAGAACATTATCTCTATAAAAGCTTAAATGATCAAGTAGCCAAAGCAGATTCAACCTTCTAAGATTAGAACTGTTTTACTTTTCTTTTAAATACACATTAATTTCTTTATCTGTGAAAAACTAAGAACAGCATAGTGCTATGGAAGTACACACACATATATCTATATATAGACAGATTTTGTTAAACAAGACTGATGTCTGTAGGTTTACTTTCTTCTTCTCAAGAAGTCGATAAGCCGTTTTAACGTTGTTAGAACAACGGGTAAAAGTTGAAGATATTGATGAGTTGGCCGACGCGTTTCGAATGCATTCTGCATCCATTATCAAGGCTGAATGTTGCGTGAATTGTGATTACTGTTGGTGGATATTTATAGGTATGGGTAAGCAGGTGGTGGT